TATGGCACTGAAAAACTATTTTTTGGTACTCTATCTTCCTTTTTTGACCAACAAAAATTAGACATGTACGAAATTTCCTTACGCTATTATTGTATTTTATTATTTTTAATATTAATGATTATAAATACATCAAACTAAGACTCAATTACTTTCAGTATAGTACCGAATTTTTTCATCAAAACCCTAGTTACTGTCCGTGTGAGGTTAATAAAATTGTCAAGGCTCAAGAGCGAAGCAGATCTGTTCAAATATGAGGTGGGCCATCCATTGTCCCACTGTCATAAGGACGATGATTCCCTTTTGTGCGTGATTGTTCGTCGTTTCCTTTGGATTTTATCTTCTTTGACAGTTGGGCACGTGCATGGTTTCACACATTTCAGAATCAACGCAGTAAAATAATTTAAAAACCTGAAGAAAATCTGACTGTCTTTAAACTTTTGCTCAATTGTGTGATGCTCTTCCATCCTTTAGGGCATTTTTGTTCCCAGAATTGCGAGTAAGATAAGTTAATACTACTATGTTTAGATCAAGTTATAAGGCTTGGTCTTATAGCTTGAGTTAATAACGATTGATATTAGTACAAGAATAACAAAAATACCTAATTTGATTATGGATTTGATTGGATGCAATGTTGCTTTCCTCCTTTTCAACTTAATATCATGTATTAGAAACATAAGATTGGTATTAGGACAATGGTCTCACACTTTATCCCAATCTTGCACCAAACAAGGTATATAGGGAGGATATAATGAAAAAGTACATAAATTAATAGGATGAGTATGAATTAGATTGAAATCAATTAGTCTAATTCCCATTTTAATATTATACCCGTACAAAACGCTCCTTATTTTGCTTAGGAGTATTTGGAAGAGTGAAGACCTAATTCATGTTATCACTAATCAAATATTTAAAAGATGAGGTTACTTTAGCCATCTGATTTTACCGGATATAAGATTTAGGTTGTAACCACAAGAAAGAAAGAATTTGGTTACAGCAAGTTAGGTAGTAAAATCTTTTTGGGAAGTACTTCCCACTTCCCTTTTGACTAAGCAGCAAAGTGTAAAATTTTCACTTTGTGGCATATGAGGATCAAAGAAGGTGTAATTTGTAGACATTGTTGATCAGTTACGTTCAGACATCTGCCATAGATTTACTTCTCTAATTTATAAATTTATTCAGCAAAAAGTGATAATATCTGTGTCTATGCCCTCTTCTGTCAAGGATATTCAATTACTCAACTAACCTGAATGCTAGTAACCTACTTCATGCTATGATACTTGAGACATCTCTATCAAAGTGACTTTATGTAAAGAGTTTTAGAGGGCGGGCTTTGGTATTATGGTAAGACTGCTTTACTATAATCTTGACACTATATATTTAAATTACATTTATAAGTGAGAATTATAATAGCAAGAATATCGTGCAATGAATTTTTTTTAGTTTTAGAGAATGGGAGATAATTGAAGTACGTTTAGTTTCGTGGTTGCAAAACTATGACTTCCTCATGTTTATGACAGGAAAAGGAAAAGTAAGGGAAAGAGAATCACTTTTTACCTATGTCTAGCATTTCTTTTTTACATCTAATCTCAGAATCTTGATTACAAATGAAAAGATATATAACCACCAGACACCAAACAAAATCCTCATATAACTCAAAGTTTAACCATGAAATGCTAAAGCAAAGAAACTCCCCCCCCCCCTCTCTATATCAACAGTATCAAACTTATCCATGAAATGAAGATAAACTTCCACATAATTCTGTGTGGTTCTAGCAAATAATTAAACAGATATATTATACTATAACATATTTAAATGGAATGATTGGAAGAGAGCAATATGGAAAACATAAAAAACAAAAAGCAAACAAATTATGGGATAATCATTCCAACGGGAAAGGCATGGAGACTAACTTTCTCTAGACCTCATCATATGTGTCATCATGCACTTTAGTGTTTTGGCCACCTCCTCTTCAACCCCCTTCCCTCCAGCTTTCACTTTTCACCGCCTCCCATGAAAGAAAAAAATATATTCTGTACCGACAAAAAGCAGTTAAAAGACTGCAGTGAGAGAGAGAGAGAGAGAGATCCGATCTTCATTTAATCAGCCCTTCTCAGTAAGAGTTGAACCCTTAATTAGGTAGTCATTCTCTTGGGCTGTCTTAATTCCATCACCAATCCTGCCCTTGATCTGTGTGTGTGTGTGTGTGTGANAAAGAGTTTTAGAGGGCGGGCTTTGGTATTATGGTAAGACTGCTTTACTATAATCTTGACACTTTATATTTAAATTACATTTATAAGTGAGAATTATAATAGCAAGAATCTCGTGCAATGAATTTTTTTTAGTTTTAGAGAAAGCCCATGGGAGATAATTGAAGTACGTTTAGTTTANAGTGGATGGTGATCAATAACTACCATTCAAGGAATCATCCAACAATCAAACTATACTATTTCCTTCATCATGAAGCCCTTGTCAATGTTACTTCAAAATCCGAGTCCAATTATGGCACTGAAAAACTATTTTTTGGTACTCTATCTTCCTTTTTGACCAACAAAAATTAGACATGTACGAAATTTTCTTACGCTATTATTGTATTTTATTATTTTTAATATTAATGATTATAAATACATCAAACTAAGACTCAATTAANAGTGGATGGTGATCAATAACTACCATTCAAGGAATCATCCAACAATCAAACTATACTGTTTCCTTCATCATGAAGCCCTTGTCAATGTTCCTTCAAAATCCGAGTCCAACTATGGCACTGAAAAACTATTTTTTGGTACTCTATCTTCCTTTTTTGACCAACAAAAATTAGACATGTACGAAATTTCCTTACGCTATTATTGTATTTTATTATTTTTAATATTAATGATTATAAATACATCAAACTAAGACTCAATTAATTTCAGTATAGTACCGAATTTTTTCATCAAAACCCTAGTTACTGTCCGTGTGAGGTTAATAAAATTGTCAAGGCTCAAGAGCGAAGCAGATCTGTTCAAATATGAGGTGGGCCATCCATTGTCCGACTGTCATAAGGACGATGATTCCCTTTTGTGCGTGATTGTTCGTCGTTTCCTTTGGATTTTATCTTCTTTGACAGTTGGGCACGTGCATGGTTTCACACATTTCAGAATCCACGCAGTAAAATAATTTAAAAACCTGAAGAAAATCTGACTGTCTTTAAACTTTTGCTCAATTGTGTTATGCTCTTCCATCCTTTAGGGCATTTTTGTTCCCAGAATTGCGAGTAAGATAAGTTAATACTACTATGTTTAGATCAAGTTTNTGGATTTTATCTTCTTTGACAGTTGGGCACGTGCATGGTTTCACACATTTCAGAATCAACGCAGTAAAATAATTTAAAATCCTGAAGAAAATCTGACTGTCTTTAAACTTTTGCTCAATTGTGTGATGCTCTTCCATCCTTTAGGGCATTTTTGTTCCCAGAATTGCGAGTAAGATAAGTTAATACTACTATGTTTAGATCAAGTTATAAGGCTTGGTCTTATAGCTTGAGTTAATAACGATTGATATTAGTACAAGAATAACAAAAATACCTAATTTGATTATGGATTTGATTGGATGCAATGTTGCTTTCCTCCTTTTCAACTTAATATCATGTATTAGAAACATAAGATTGGTATTAGGACAATGGTCTCACACTTTATCCCAATCTTGCACCAAACAAGGTATATAGGGAGGATATAATGAAAAAGTACATAAATTAATAGGATGAGTATGAATTAGATTGAAATCAATTAGTCTAATTCCCATTTTAATATTATACCCGTACAAAACGCTCCTTATTTTGCTTAGGAGTATTTGGAAGAGTGAAGACCTAATTCATGTTATCACTAATCAAATATTTAAAAGATGAGGTTACTTTAGCCATCTGATTTTACCGGATATAAGATTTAGGTTGTAACCACAAGAAAGAAAGAATTTGGTTACAGCAAGTTAGGTAGTAAAATCTTTTTGGGAAGTACTTCCCACTTCCCTTTTGACTAAGCAGCAAAGTGTAAAATTTTCACTTTGTGGCATATGAGGATCAAAGAAGGTGTAATTTGTAGACATTGTTGATCAGTTACGTTCAGACATCTGCCATAGATTTACTTCTCTAATTTATAAATTTATTCAGCAAAAAGTGATAATATCTGTGTCTATGCCCTCTTCTGTCAAGGATATTCAATTACTCAACTAACCTGAATGCTAGTAACCTACTTCATGCTATGATACTTGAGACATCTCTATCAAAGTGACTTTATGTAAAGAGTTTTAGAGGGCGGGCTTTGGTATTATGGTAAGACTGCTTTACTATAATCTTGACACTATATATTTAAATTACATTTATAAGTGAGAATTATAATAGCAAGAATATCGTGCAATGAATTTTTTTTAGTTTTAGAGAATGGGAGATAATTGAAGTACGTTTAGTTTCGTGGTTGCAAAACTATGACTTCCTCATGTTTATGACAGGAAAAGGAAAAGTAAGGGAAAGAGAATCACTTTTTACCTATGTCTAGCATTTCTTTTTTACATCTAATCTCAGAATCTTGATTACAAATGAAAAGATATATAACCACCAGACACCAAACAAAATCCTCATATAACTCAAAGTTTAACCATGAAATGCTAAAGCAAAGAAACTCCCCCCCCCCCTCTCTATATCAACAGTATCAAACTTATCCATGAAATGAAGATAAACTTCCACATAATTCTATGAGGTTCTAGCAAATAATTAAACAGATATATTATACTATAACATATTTAAATGGAATGATTGGAAGAGAGCAATATGGAAAACATAAAAAACAAAAAGCAAACAAATTATGGGATAATCATTCCAACGGGAAAGGCATGGAGACTAACTTTCTCTAGACCTCATCATATGTGTCATCATGCACTTTAGTGTTTTGGCCACCTCCTCTTCAACCCCCTTCCCTCCAGCTTTCACTTTTCACCGCCTCCCATGAAAGAAAAAAATATATTCTGTACCGACAAAAAGCAGTTAAAAGACTGCAGTGAGAGAGAGAGAGAGAGAGATCCGATCTTCATTTAATCAGCCCTTCTCAATAAGAGTTGAACCCTTAATTAGGTAGTCATTCTCTTGGGCTGTCTTAATTCCATCACCAATCCTGCCCTTGATCTGTGTGTGTGTGTGAGAGAGAGAGAGAGAGAGAGAGATCCAATTCTCTATGTATCTGCTTCTGTTGCTAAGGCTGAAAATATAGCAAACGGTATCTTCAGGTAGGTTTTCTTCATAATTCCATCTGCGAGAGAACTTATCGTATAATTTTTTGTATATAAAAAGTCAGCAACTGAGAAAACAAACTTGAGATCTTAGAGAAGATGACAGAGGAAGTGATATCAAATGGTCTCACTCAGAATTCAAGTGGTGGATCTAATCCAACCCCCATGAAAAAGAAGAGAAACCTTCCAGGAAATCCAGGTAAACCCTCATTTTTCATTACATAAAGCTTTTCTTTTTGCTTTGTTTCTGTTCGACTTTATTAATTAGAGGAATATTCATGATTGTTTTTTCAATTGTTCTTCAATTTGACATATGGGCATCAAACTATTATTTACACAGATCCTGAAGCTGAAGTAATTGCCTTGTCGCCAAAGACCCTAATGGCCACCAACAGATTCTTATGTGAAATCTGTGGAAAGGGTTTTCAGAGAGATCAAAACTTGCAACTTCATAGAAGAGGGCATAATCTTCCATGGAAGCTGAAGCAAAGGACTAGCAAAGAGGTGCGAAAACGAGTTTATGTGTGCCCGGAAAAGACCTGTGTCCACAACCACCCTTCGAGGGCTCTCGGAGACCTCACCGGAATAAAGAAGCACTTCTGTCGAAAACATGGGGAGAAGAAGTGGAAGTGTGAGAAGTGCTCCAAGAGATATGCGGTTCAGTCGGACTGGAAAGCTCACTCCAAGACTTGTGGCACTAGGGAGTACAAATGTGACTGTGGGACTATATTTTCAAGGTAATGCCTGCTAACAAATATATTTGGGGTTTAGAAGAATGCATAGTGGAATGGAAATTTTTTGCAGAAGTACTATTTATCAAGCACTTCAAAGAAGCAAATTTAGGTAGTCGATAAGGTATGAGAGCATTCTTTTGTGATTGGGATAACTTTATTGGTTAGAAGAACATAGCACATCTTTGTGTGTGTGTGCTTGTATGCCTTTTAGAATGAAAAAAGAGGTGGCCATAGTGAAGACAAATCGACTGTTTGAAAGATAAATCCTTTATTTTCAGCCCCTTGTCTTCTTCATTAGGATTTTTCATCATCTGGAAATAAGGTTATTAATAGTGATCCCTTTCTGAATAGTTGTGACCCTTTTTTCCTTGTTTTTACTTGGTTTGGTTTGGGTAGCCTAGTCAATTTTAGCACAAACCCAGAGAAAATTTACAAAAAACAATTTCAATTTAGCTTCCAATTTTGTCAAGTAGCTTACATCCAAATTCAAGTTTTTCTATAATCATCTTTTATAGTATCCTCTGCGATTCCAGTCCTAGGGCAGCGCTTAGTATCAACCCCCTCTTTGCAACGTATACCTCTAAAGTAAGGTTCTTGCCTTTCTGAGATAGTGTGAAGCTTTGCATCGTGAACTGCAGGGTTCATTAAACCCTTTCTTGCTTGGGACAGACAAATTGACCGAAAGTAGTCTGAACTTATTGATCAACCCTCTTTGCTGACGTCNAAAGTAAGGTTCTTGCCTTTCTGAGATAGTGTGAAGCTTTGCATCGTGAACTGCAGGGTTCATTAAACCCTTTCTTGCTTGGGACAGACAAATTGACCGAAAGTAGTCTGAACTTGTTGATCAACCCTCTTTGTTGACGTGCCAACATTAGCTGATTTAGATGTTTACTTTATGTTATTGATAGATGAATGATTCAATCTGTGTTTAGTACTACTTAGCGTTGTCTTTTCATTGAATTAACTAACTATTAACAAATTTTACATAACCAGGCGAGATAGCTTCATCACTCATAGGGCCTTTTGTGATGCCTTAGCTGAAGAAACAGCTAGGGTTAAAGCAGCATCTAACATCAACAATGCAGCAGCTGGAAACATCAATTATCATTTTATGGGAGCTCCAGTAGGGTCGAGCATGGCACAGCATTTCTCTTCTATTTTCAAGCCAACAATCTCAGCCAACGATGATTCTGGCGACCCGATGAGACGACTCTCACTGTGGATGGGCCAAGGATCCCAAGGTCATGACTTAATAAGCAATAATCTCCCAGAGATCCATCAAATTGGTCCAGTGAGTTCCAGTGCAATCTACGGTGATCCACTCGTTTCGAGTTCGAATCCTCCACCATCCAATTATCCATCAAACTGGGACTTTGGGAATAAGCTTTCTTCCAATAATGTGGAAGAAATAACAAGCACAACACACCCTTTAACCAATGTTAAAGATGTTGGAAACCAGGTTTTGAGTGTTCCTTCCTTGTTCAGCACCCAACACTATTCTCATCAAACTCCTTCTTCAAACATGTCTGCAACAGCTTTACTTCAGAAAGCTGCAGAAATGGGGGCAACCACAACTGACCCATCATTCCTAGGAAGCTTTGGTTTGAAGAACATTAACAATCAGATTCAAGATGGTAACAAATACTGTGGATTGTATGGTGCGAACTCCATAGCCAGTGGTCTTGGAAGTGATGTAGAAAGCTCAGTACATGATCTTTCTGCTCTGAACCAGTTTCAGATGTACCCTTCTAAGCGCAGGCACATTCAGAATGAAGACGGTACGGGAGGAGGACAAACTAGGGATTTCCTTGGTGTTGGCATACAATCCATCTGCCACCCATCATCAATCAATGGATGGATTTGATCATATTGGTATTTGAGTTATTGAATATTTTCTCAAAAAGAAAGCAAAGTTGGTCATAAAGTGGAGTTGATTGTTGGGGGGAGGGGTGGAAAAAGAGGAGGAGGGAGAGAGAGAATTTAGTGTGTTGCAAACTTTGCAAAGAGGGAAAGGTGGCATTGAGTGGTTGATGGGATCTAAAAGTTGTGCTTAGCATATAAGTATCCAAGAGCAGGAGGAGGAGGAGATACGTGCATATTCTTTTGAACTCTGAAAGCTGTTCCCTTTAAAATGGTAGCTTTTGTTTATGATAAAAGGGGGTGGAAGTAGTGGGGGCAAAGCAAGGGGCCCTTTTGAACTCCATTATTGCTATCTGTAATATCTGTTGTAGTTCCTATCTTTTCAAACAAGAAAATAAAAATACTATTTCTGTGGCAAGAAAAGCTTGATTCTATGTTAAGAAGGCTTGCTTAAATAAAGTACTTTTCTATTGTTCAACCATGCAAAGTTAAGTAAATTACTGCACTAGCTATTATTCATGCAAGAAATGGAAGGAAATGCTTACAAGTCTTCATATCATACCCGGTCTAAAAAGGTTTTTTCTTTCTCAACGACTTGCAATACTTCTGTATCTTTCAGAATAATTGACCATTCTAAGTTTTTTTATTTTCAGCATGTCTGATGTTACCCAATCAATTTTGGGTAATGTGCCTTACTATCACCATAACCCATAGTGGCATTCCTTTTTATTGATCAGACTACAAGGGAGTGTTATGACAATTTAAAATGCTATTTGGACCTAATTTGGGGGCTTCCATAATGTTTGTTGATGGAGTACATATTACCATAAATCACCTTATTGACATTATTCCTCTATTTTTCAGCTAGATCTTACCAATACTCTACAAGGAAGCCCATTCTTGTCAATAACCGAGGTGTAGTGTTACTTAGATCTAATTTAGAGACTTAATACATTTATACTGTTAGACTAACATTAGGTCAGAATATTTGATGGAGTATATATCATCCGCTGGAGTGTGCTATAGGGATTAATTCAGAGGTCCTAAAACAGTTTCTTGACATGTTTATGTGGCAACAAAAAGGGAAAGAAGGCCAAAAGAAAAAGTAAAGAGAGAAAGAAGCCAGATTCTTGCGCCAGTCCCTTCCTTTCTTGTACTTTGATTTGTATGATTGAGCTTGTTGTTCCATGGTGTGCAATGCAAGATGTATTGATGTAGAACATGTAGCAACTGAATATTTAAATAGAGAACTGTTTCGTATTCAAAGCGCAATAAAAAATAACAAAATAATAGTAGAGACAAAATTTGTTGGGTTCAGAATCTAGTAGAACTAGTGTCATTTGATTTGGATTGAACCAACGATATACTCGTTGCTTTGGGACGAGATTTGCCATTTTTAGGTTAAATTTTACCGTTTATACCTTCCAATTCCTTTTTTTTAAAGAAGAATTCAAAAATTAATAATAAATTATAGAAGATTCCGAATTTAGTGTTGTCAGTTTTGTTGGACTCAAGATGACACATGATTTTATGTTAATTAGTTAGATTATAATTTTCTATTTTTGATAAATTTTGTACATTTAGAAATTTTACTTCCATTATGGGAAAATTAGAATTTTGACTGTTTCTATATATTGTTTTAGGTACTAAGTTATTCAATCAATAATACATAAATTTTCAAAGTTCATGTTACACTCACAAAAAAACGATGCNTTTTGATAAATTTTGTACATTTAGAAATTTTACTTCCATTATGGGAAAATTAGAATTTTGACTGTTTCTATATATTGTTTTAGGTACTAAGTTATTCAATCAATAATACATAAATTTTCAAAGTTCATGTTACACTCACAAAAAAAAACGATGCTTTTTTTTTGTGGGAAAATGTTATATAATTCAAATGAAATCTAAAAGTTAAAACTCATATGTATATCATCTCTTAGATGAGTGTGAGATGAATGAAATCCACTGAAAAAATTACTAGGACCCACTTTTCTAAGAAATGATATATATTTNTAAATTTTCAAAGTTCATGTTACACTCACAAAAAAAAACGATGCTTTTTTTTTGTGGGAAAATGTTATATAATTCAAATGAAATCTAAAAGTTAAAACTCATATGTATATCATCTCTTAGATGAGTGTGAGATGAATGAAATCCACTGAAAAAATTACGAGGACCCACTTTTCTAAAAAATGATATACATTCNTGTATATCATCTCTTAGATGAGTGTGAGATGAATGAAATCCACTGAAAAAATTACTAGGACCCACTTTTCTAAGAAATGATATATATTTAAGTTATAATTTTTAAAATTTTATTTGAATTTTGTAACATTACCTCTTTTGTGTTCTTCATATACAGCTAAGTAAAGGATAGCCACTGTAAATATCCTATTTGTTAGTTGAGTAGATGGTCTTTAGTTGCATTAGAGTGAGGTCTAATCTTTTGGGCAGTAAGCTCAATCTCGTTGCCTTTCTTTACAATTCTATAGACATATATAAAGACAAATACATCCTTTCCTCCCGAGATGTGAAACGAGTACGAAAAAAATGGTCAGTTTTTTTTTTTTTTGATTCTTTATTTAGCTTTAGATGAATTGTTTAGAATGAAACCATTTTTTTACTATCATATATATAATAAAATATCTTATAATTTAAATTTTAAAAATAAACAAAATAATTTTTCTTATTTAGGACTGAGATCGCTTTAAATTTTATTAACACCCTAAATTTAATAGGAAAAATAGGCCGCTAAGAGAGTGTTTGGAGTGATTTTTTAAAAGTAATTTTAGAAATTATTTTTCATAAATATTTTTTTAAAAAATANTGAGTGACTTTTTAAAAGTAATTTTAGAAATTATTTTTCATAAATATTTTTTTAAAAAATAGTGTTTGAAACCGTCTTACCACTACCTTTACCACCACCACTACCATCATCGCCACTACCACTGCCACTGCCGCCGTCATCACCATCACCACCACTATCACCGTCGTTGTCGTCGTTGCTGCCACCGCCACTCCCACCAACATCGTCGTCACCACCACTACTACCGCCACCGCCACCACCACCACGGTCATTGCCAACCATCGCCGTCTCCTATCACCACCACTGCCACCTAGCACCTCTTACCCCCACTATAAATCAATACTTAAACTCTTTTATCTCTTCTTTATATTTATGATTTGATTTTAGATATGAATACAAATATGTTTATTATTTATCATTTTTTGTTACTTTGTGCTTTCCCACACAAACAATAACTAATTCATTGATATTGACACAAAAAAAAAATGGCACGAGCCAAATTTAATACAACACAACACGAGTGACATTTTTATTTTATAGTACATGTGAGATTACCGATCCTTCAACATGAACAATATGGTAACAATTAGAACAACTGTTTCCTCGTTACAAAGTGTTACATATGATAATTTCGACAATCCAAGTTTGAATCTCCTTTCTTCATTCCTTTAATAAAAAAAAATCATCATAACAATAAACTTTATAAACAGCTTTTAACAATTTTTTTTTTTAATTTTGTGTGTCAACAATACACACACACCTCTATCAAAGAAGGATCTTCAAATATGTACAAACATCAAATAGACTTTTTTTGGATGTATTTAGAAGCCTTATAACATTGTAATTTGATTATATCTTGATTTACACTAAAGTATTCATATGGGTAACGCTACACTGAAGAGAAATAACCCAAAACGAGACCAAAAGTGAGACCAAATGGTTTCACTTTTGTTCATTTAAAATNTCAAATATGTACAAACATCAAATAGACTTTTTTTGGATGTATTTAGAAGCCTTATAACATTGTAATTTGATTATATCTTGATTTACACTAAAGTATTCATATGGGTAACGCTACACTGAAGAGAAATAACCCAAAACGAGACCAAATGGTTTCACTTTTGTTCATTTAAAATTTCAAGATTTAGGCACCATACCATCACCACATTATTTGATCATTTTTTATCATTACCATTCCCGATTAGGTAGAATTGTTTATTTAAATTTAGTAATTATTGTAAATTCATAAAGACAAACCCAAATAAAGTCAACTTTTAATTATTTAAGATTGACTACATAAATATTTTTTTGGAGATTCCACTCAACAAAGAGCTACATGCAATTAAATTATATAATTAGCCAACATAATATGTTGTAAAAACCGAACCTATATATGTATTTTTCAATTTTATCGGATGTTCTTGAAGCGATCTAGAAAATCCAAACTAATGTAAGGGGGGTTATTCCCAACCCATAAATCTTCATCTTCACCCCCTATTAAATCCGCTAGTTTCAAACTACAAAGTCCACCTCAGTAATAACTAAATTCATGCTACTACATATTCATTATAGTAGTGATCGATTAAATTCACCTAATCTTTACATGTTCTATATCTGTGATTAAGTCCACTACCATCGCTACCAATGGACATTGTCAACCCAACACCCCGCCACTACCATTACCATCACTACTGTNTAGACATATATAAAGACAAATACATCCTTTCCTCCCGAGATGTGAAACGAGTACGAAGAAAATGGTCAGTTTTTTTTTTTTTTGATTTCTTTATTTAGCTTTAGATGAATTGTTTAGAATGAAACCATTTTTTTACTATCATATATATAATAAAATATCTTACAATTCAAATTTTAAAAATAAACAAAATAATTTTTCTTATTTAGGACTGAGATCGCTTTAAATTTTACTTTAAAGTTAATCTAACAACTTATATTAACACCCTAAATTTAATAGGAAAAATAGGCCACTAAGAGAGTGTTTTGAGTGACTTTTTAAAAGTAATTTTAGAAATTATTTTTCATAAATATTTTTTTAAAAAATAGTGTTTGAAACCGTCTTACCACTACCTTTACCACCACCACTACCATCATCGCCACTACCACTGCCACTGCCGCCGTCATCACCATCACCACCACTATCACCGTCGTTGTCGTCGTTGCTGCCACCGCCACTCCCACCAACATCGTCGTCACCACCACTACTACCGCCACCGCCACCACCACCACGGTCATTGCCAACCATCGCCGTCTCCTATCACCACCACTGCCACCTAGCACCTCTTACCCCCACTATAAATCAATGCTTAAACTCTTTTATCTCTTCTTTATATTTATGATTTGATTTTAGATATGAATACAAATATGTTTATTATTTATCATTTTTTGTTACTTTGTGCTTTCCCACACAAACAATAACTAATTCATTGATATTGACACAAAAAAAAAATGGCACGAGCCAAATTTAATACAACACAACACGAGTGACATTTTTATTTTATAGTACATGTGAGATTACCGATCCTTCAACATGAACAATATGGTAACAATTAGAACAACTGTTTCCTCGTTACAAAGTGTTACATATGATAATTTCGACAATCCAAGTTTGAATCTCCTT